TTTTTTCGAAACGAGTAATATAAAAAGCACAAAGGTGTAAAAGAAACAAATTAAAAGAACCGTAATTCTAAGGCCCCAATAGGGTAATAAGACAGGACCCAACGGCCTAAACTAAAAACACTTTACTAAACAAACTGAAATAGAAAACTGAGAGGACCCGCACATGGCGGCCTAGAGAACTCCACAAACGAAAATAAAGGAGAATGACAAATAGAACCACTGTACAGTGCTTAGCCTGTAATCATCTCCGAACCAAAAACAAAAAACAAACTGAAAAAACTATGAAAAGACAACCTACAAAGCAAACAAGCCCAACAAACAACTACTAAAACTAAAACGACCCTCCCCCGAAGAACCGACAAACCCGAGCAAGCAGCTACAACCAACTTAAGGAAAGGTCCCTAGCCAAGTCTCAACCCCTGAAACTGCCGAATGCCTAACAAGAGGCGGGACCCCACCCCCGAACCAAACCCAAAGGTCGGAACCCACCAACCGGGGAGATCAAGCCCAGAAGCCCCAACCAGATCGACCCAGGTCCGATTAACACCACTAGCCGGACCAAGATGAACCGGAACCCGAGCTTTGCAAGTGAGTGGAAAAATCAGAAAAACTGCCCCCAGCTCAATCTCCCACTTCAGCGACCACCACGAATACACAACGACCATCATAGCCCAAATCGACCACCACACAGCAACGCCCAGACAACACCACTACCACAGCCGGATCCGCATCCACCCGCCAAAGCCCAAAACCGAAACCCTAAACGAATCAACCATCCATAACCTCCCATGAGCACAGCACCCGAACCAGTGAAGACCAGAGGAAATCCAAAACAGAACCCCTCAGCAACTCCGAGCTACGGATGCAGCAGAACCCGGCTTGAAATTGCCGCCGGCACCTCACGCACCAACAAATGGGGGAAGACGCAGGGAGCCAGCATAGTGGCAAAATCGATAGGGAATGCCGATGGGATCGATTGAGAGGCCAGCAGCGGCCGCGAAATCGGTCGCGCCGTCCCGGAGAAGGCCAAGGAAGACGAAAAATACGGCGGCTCTGGTTTTGTGTTTTAGAGAGAGAGATACACGAGAGAGGAAATTACGGAAGATGACAAATACCTTTTTAAATACAAATATGTTGATATATTTTTTTTTTTATTTGATTGAATTTTTTTTGTTTGGGGTTAGTTGTTAGTGGATATATTAAAATAATATTTAAAATAAAATAATTAAAGTTGATTTGATGTAAAAATAGAAGATAGATGATTTAAAGTGATGATTAGTTAAAATTATGTGAGTGGATGAATAGTGAACTAAGGTTGATGCGATATGTGAGAATTATTGGTTGATATTATTTAATTATATTGATCGTATTGATGATAGTGATGTTGAGTTAAAAAAAAGTCGTTGAATTAAAAATGTTTAGATTTTTTTTAGTAGATTTTTATCATTTACGTGTTGCTACATTTTCTTTTTACAATATTAAAATAAAATCATGGGAGTATTAAATTAAAAAACTATACAATGTAAACTTTAATATAAAGAAAGACATCATTCATAAACCATAAAAATAGTTCATAAGTTTTGAAAAAAATAAAAAGAATTTATAGGTGAAGGGTGTAATTTCTTTATAATATGATGAAATATTATATTTTCTTTTATGTTACATTATAGAGTATAATATTTCAATTTAAATGTATGCTTATATATTTAAAGAAACATACATGTCTAATATAAGGTTATTTGGTGTATGTTTTTGTTAAATATTTATATTTTAAAAGTTCTCACTAGCGCACCGTATTTCTTCTATCCGCCTTCCTCACCGGCTATTGCGCTTTGCCGGTGGCCGGCCCATCTTGCCTTTGCACTTCGGTGGTGGCGGATCTGCAGCAGTCGACTTCGTCGTCTTCTACAAGTTCTGATTCCGGCATGGGTTTCCGTCGGCCTTCTTGTTGTTGCGGTGGTGTCAGGCGAGGTGTGGTGTTGAGGGATGGGGTTGAGTTTGGCTCTGGCGACTCGCGGTTTACGAGTCCATGTGGTTGTGGGGCTGCGACATCTTGGTTGCTCCTTCTCCATTGTTCTCTAGCGCTGAGAAGGGGGTCGGGGTGCGCAGGGTGCGGCCGAACCTAGCTAGTGGTGTTAGCTGGTTTGGTTCATCGGCGGTTCTGAGGGAAATTTGGGTGTTTTCGGTCGAGGGGCGAGTCGGATTTTGGGTGAGTTCCGGTGCTTGGATGTCGGCTCCGTTAGGCAACCATTTTACGGTTTTGGGCAGTTTCGGGGTCAATTTTCTCGGGTCGCGGGATTCTCCTTGTGTCGACTTGATGTCTATTGGTTTAGCTCGGTCATGCTGCTTTGGAATGGCTCGTTTAGTTGCTTGTATTTTTTTATTTCGTTTAGTTGCTTGTAGTTTTATTTTTCGTTTCGTTTTAGTTTTGTGTTTTTGGTTTAGGCCTTTGGCCTCTGTGTACGCCCGAGTGAGAGCAGGTATTATCCCGGTGGGATCGTCGATTCTCCTCCATAAGAGCTTTGTAGTTTTGTGATGTTGTTTTGTTCTGAGTATGTTTGTTCTAGCTTTGCTAGGTAGGCTTTAGGCGATCTCCGGATCTGACCTACCAGTCTTTCAGCTACTGGTTGTATCTTTAAGCTTTTGGCTTTTTTTTTTTTTTTGCACTTTTGTGCCCATAAGCCAACAAAGAAGGCTGAAGGAAGGACTGGAAACTGATCCAGAATTTTCCGCGACTCGCGACTGAGTCGCGACTCGCGAGATGGTCACGACCGCGAGATTAACAGAGGCTGAAGGAGTAGATCGCGAGATGAAGTCGCGACCAACCCCAGAATTTGAAGAAAATGGCGACGTGCGACTCGCGACCTGAGGAAATTGATAAGTCGCGACTCGCGACTTGGCGACGCGAAAATCGAGATGCAGGTTTTTTAATCTGTTTTTTTTTTACCTAGGGCATTCTATTCTCTTCCAGACTTATTTTTTTATGTTTTTTCTCTCTAGCAAACACATTCCTTTCATTAGTTTTGCACTTTGGATTAGATTTGGAGATTGAAAAACTCCTTTTTCTTGCTTTAGATTTGGATGCACTTGGATCTGACATTAGAATTTTTACATTAATCGTAAGTTTTTTTTTTTTTCTCAATTTGTTTATTGATGATGATGGCTTGGGTTATTGTGAATTGTGATGTTGAATCGTTATGAGTAGCTAAATCCATTCGCTATGGATAGGGGATGATTGATTATGTTCGATTACAATTGCATACTTTTGATTGTTTATATTTATGCGAGTTGTATGTAATATAGAGTTAGTTGATTGATCACCATTCTAACCTAGTTAATCAATATTTAGAACCGAGAGGGGAACGTTAGTCGATTTAGGCTCGTTTAGAATAGATTTGTTCGTCGTAATATTGTCTATGTGTTGTTGGAATCGGTAAATTCACTCTCTTGTTACGAAGAGCTATTGAGAGTGAATCTCTGGACGAGAAATGATTCAAGTCCTTTAACTGTGCAATTGATTTCCTGGTAATTGTGTTAGAACCGAAAGCAATTATCTTCGATTCCCTAGCTCTTTAATCATTGAGTGAATTCGTTTGCTATTTAAATTGCATTTTATTTAGTTTAAAGTCATTAGCTGATAATTGAAACAAAAAACTATTGAATTAGAGTGTTCAGGATTTTTATCTTTTTTTTCGTGATTGAATATTCGTACAATTAAATCCGGCTAACCTTCCTTGTGATACGGTCGGGGAACGAATCTTTCGATTCTACTCTGGTAAAAATACCTGCAACATATGTTCCCAATTTTTTTATAAAAAAATTAATTTATTGTTGTTTGTTATGCACATTATTTTTATTTTTTATTTTTTAATCAATAATAAAAATTTAAAATGTGATTTAAAATGA